GGGGGGGGGGGGAGGAGAGAAATAGCGCACTAGTTACCGTGTTTGAGTTTTTCCTCCCACAGCACCATGGTTATATGATTCTCTTCTATTCCATATATCTCAATATTCTACTCGCATACTAAAGTGGTTTGACTCTGCACAAATCATTGATCATGACTTGTGTCATCTCTATTCTTTGTTTTCTGTGCTTTCTTTAATCAGTTATTTGTAATCAGCATTATATACCTTTAGGCCCTATCATGGATGAAGGATAGTTTAAGCCGTACAACATAAAGAGGTTACTACGATATGTATTAAAATCTAACGATATATATCAGTCAAAGTCGTCATTAGAAGTAATCGTCACTGCATTTGCGAGACCAACTTCATTTTGTCGCATACAATCCCAATGTTTCCATCGTTGCCAACATTTTCTCACCAAAACATATTTGACTTGACGGCGATATTGTGATGATATTGCTATAAAGATGTAGAAGTTACTCTAAAAATAAATCATTATAATCGATGTCAATAGAGCACCGAATCGAACATACCGCATAGTTCAAACTAATAAAATAATTAAGACTTGTTTGAAGTAATTGTCCAATCGAATATTGCAAACTATTCGATCGCGAAGGTGGATTATTAATAATATACATCCGATAAATGGTATATGGTAATGCAAATATCACAAAAAATACAACACGTGTCAAAATCATTGCTGTCATTTGTCGATCGAGTCGACGACGAACAATCGGTACTTGTCGACGGACAATACGACGAACATTACGAAAAGCTAATAAACTAAAAAAGAATGAGATAGCAATCTGCACAGGACCATACAAAACTGGATAAAAGAAATATGTTGCATATAGATTTAATGTTGGACTACCACTGACACATCCAACTAATGGTTGAATAGTGAGAAAAGAGTTAAACACAATGCTATGGACCAACATGATGAAACTAGCGATAAATATCAGAGATCGAGCCAGTTTGAGTGTACACATATTTCTTACAGCAAAATGATAACTTGTCGAACAGAATTGATCGCAAGCAGCACAACATATCGTAAAGTATATGATGAGTGACATTCCTTGGAATAACATACTTCGTATTCTACACCAAGCCAATATGTAATCAGCGGGATCATATCTATATGCATTTCGTAATATGGTACTGATTAAAGTAACGGACAAGGAAACAATTCCTACAGTCGATTCGACAATACAATAGAAAGCACATCGATTTTCTCGAAAACATCTGAGTCGAGTGAAGACAAGAATATTTAGAACATTACCACTAATTCCAATAGCAAGTATACCATAATATATATCCATTACATACTGTCTAACAGCATTCAGAATATTCACAGTTGTTGATAACGACTCCATAATGATTTTGACTTGCTTATTCAAAATATTATTTTATATGTTTGATAAGAACAGCGCAACACATTTTTTCTCTCTTAGTTTTGCACTTGTCTAATTAATATTTGTCTCTGACATTCAAACGCTTGAGAGAAAGAAGAGCAAACGCTTCCTTCACTTCCTATATAAAGAAATGAAAACTATTGGCTGAAAAAAGAAAGTAATTGAACAAAGCCAGAAGCAAGGACGAAAAAAATTTCTAAACACACTGTAAATAAAAATAAATAAATTATCAAAGTTTTAGGATGTTGTTCTTACAGGTCTATGTCATCTGAGACTTTTCTAAGATCAATTTAAAACTCTTGGAATTGCATACGTTAATTTATTTAAAAAAATTATTTCTCATATCACCAAAATTAAAAAGTGTAAAACTAATTAGAACGATATTAACGAGTAGCTCATAAAGAAGTATCCTATTAGTATCTTTAAATTTCTCCTCTTTTTTTCCACTTAATCAAAACATTTTTTTAATCAAAAGATTCAACGCCAAATTCTCTACCAATCCACATATAACTGGATTTGACATCCGTTTCAAATATAATCCAAAAAACTGTTATAGGTGTATTCTAGTCGTAAGATAGTATCGAGTGCAAAATGAAAATTATCTTATTTTTTAATTTGAAGATTGTATATGCTTTTACATCTTCTAGTAGTCATCATACGTAAAATCATTCGTATTTGTTGTTTCAAGTATTCAAAAAAAGTTCATTATATGTCGTATTAATGAAATTGATGAACTTTTTAAGTAGGGTGTGGGTGTGGGATGGGTGTGGGGTGTGGGTGTGGGTGTGATTAAAGAGATCCCACACCCACACCCACAGCCACCCACACCCACCCTCCCACACACCCACACCCTAATATAAGGTTGATCTAGCCGAATAATATCAGATTCGAATTTGGTCAATCCTTGAAATCCTAATTCTGGTGAGACGCTTCTTATTAGTGCTCATTTATGGAGAGACTCAAGGCTATCGAGTGAATACGTTCCGCCGCTTATGAATATGTTGATGGAAAGGTGGTCATCCCTAATTGGCTGTGTGTAAATGGCTGATTGTTACTGATTATCTGTCTTTCATTTCGATGAATTTTTTCATATGGAAGACACTCAAGTTGTAATGATGGTGAAGCTGGATGAGTTCGACGCTGCGAAAGATTATAGTGTGTTATTAATAGTGATGGTCCTTCAATCAATAGAAAACTACTACAATAAGATGAAAATATAAAGTACTGTATTGTTTGATATTGTATTTATGATAGAAAACTGACTATTCTCGGTATTTTTTTACATATAAGAAATTCTATTGGTTCACACAAAAAGTGCTTCTCTATAGTAGCAGATATATACTTTCCCTAGTGATAGGGATAGAGTTTTGAAAAGTTATGGTGTTATTCGTGTGGTTGCAAAATATTTGATTTCGTAATGAGAGGCTTTTCAGATTTGTACTAAAAGAGAAGAAGACATTTTTCAGAAAATATCTACGTTTTTTTCTCACTCTGTAACTAACACGAGAGAACATCAACTCTCAGTCGAACGCAAAACGAATAAAGAAAAAAAGCTTGCGATGTAATTCATAAGTGGTAGAGAAGAACTGTTGCCAAATAATTTTGATGCCTCAGACAAAGCACGCAAGTACAAACAATAGGAGCATACCATAATGAAAAGAGACCCCTGATCAGTATTCTATACATTGATAAAGTCAAAATATTATGATATGAGAAATTCTTTTTGTCTAAATGACTCTTGTTCATGTACAGTGCTCAGATCGAAAGTATTTGATGCCTATTTATTACTAATTGAGCGTTCAAGTCTTGTACTCAGTTAAATGTGTATAATACTGATTTCGTGCAACACTCTAATCGATTTGGTACTTTCATTCTTATTGCAGTAGCGAGATAAATATTAAGTATGAGAAATCATCCAGTTTTTTTTTTGAAAATAGTGCTTCAGTAATCCTTTTGTAATAATGTTTCTTTACTCTGCTCATTCATCAGCATGCCTGAACTCTTTTTTTTTTCGTTGGTATCTAAAAAGCATTCAATTAGTAATACATTTATATGCAAAACATGTTCCACTGCAACTCGACGACTAACTTCTCGGAACTTGAAGGAACCGACTGGGTTACGACAAATGAATCCTATCGGATCCGTCCTATGGATATCATCGGAATCCGGTAATCGGGATGCGTCGGAAATTATGGGAATCAATTGAGATCCGATCGGATTCCGACAATCGGAATTCTATCGGATTTAGTCATCGGAATTCATCAGATTGAGACAGATCCGATAGAATACGATGGCTCACTTTCGACCTGCGAAGTTGACGAAATTATCTCTGCATTGATTTTTATTTATTCGTATGCAGAAGCAAGTCAGAATTTTCCTGATTTTCTACAAATTGTCCTAGTTTGACCTAGCATCAGCAAATAATTCTGCTTCTTTTTTTTTTATTTTTGTGTTATTTTAGAAAAATGCCCAATATTAACAACAAAATCATTCGTCGAAGTTAAATTCATTTACAACGATCTTTAGAAAACTAAGAAATTAGAAAAATCATCGTTCGCTGCCATAGATGTTTATTACTTATACAAAACACATCAATTCATCATTTCATTATAACAAGAAGCGCATAGAAGAATAGAAAAAGTCAAGATTAGGAGATCGACTATGTCTTTTCATTATTCAGAGACAGGCCAATCAGTTTTCTATTTGAATATTCAGCTTTTTACTATTGTTTGAAAAGTTTACAAGAACTGCGAAAGATTGGAAGCAGGGCTGCCATCTGTACCCCATTTCGGGGTACAGTACCCCATTTTAACGTTTTGTACCTCAAAAAGATTTGTACCTCAGAGGTACAAAATTTGTACCCCATTTGGACAATTTCCTTTTGCATAAGATTAAAATCATATTTTGTTAAAATCGATAAACTTATTGACTGTAGTTGACATCTTCATTTAAATAGTAGAGATACGAAGAGTCAATTACATTGGCTGATTCATGACCAATACAGGACTTTGTTATTCTTAGCATTGGTGTTTCCTTCTCTTTTGCAATTTGAATCTCACGATCGAAATTAAATCGTGTTTCTAATCGATTATAGTTTTCTATTAAAAGAATTCATATATATTTATTGCAAAATACCGAGGAATTATTGTAGATTTTAGTTATGCAGCAAATGAACAACGATAATTCTATTGAACTAGATATTGAAGTCATTGAGGAAGAGAATGATTCCATGACACTCGAATTTGAAAAATCAATAACACCAAAAGAAACATCAAGTTCTATGTCTAGATTATCTTTCAATATAGAAAGAAAGTCATTGAATTCTTCATCAAAATCAAAAAGATATTGCAAGTTCAACAAAGAATGGATTAAAATTTCGAAATATGCATCATTTTTACAAGAGTGTCGAACAGATTCATCACTTGCACATTGTTCTGTGTGTAAATCGAATTTTTCAATTGCTAATGGTGGGAAGTATTTGATCGATCGTCATCTTGAACAAGCGAATCACAAGCGTCTAGTAGCAGCAGAAGCTAAACACAAATGTAATTTAGTTTGGTCTTAATTCAAAAGAATACTGATTATGTTGATCTATTGTCTTTTAGCACATTCAATGTTTGATTTTATTCCTCACTCGACTGAATTGACAAAGTTGGTTGCTGCTGAAATCACATTAGTTTATCACGGAATACGTCATGGACATAGCTATTTGAGTCAGGCATGCACTGCTGATGTCTCGAAGAAATTGTTTCAAGATTCAACTATTGGAAAAAATCTCACATGTGGACGAACTAAAGCTCGTGAAATTGCTGCTAATGTTTTAGGTGAGTAATAATTCTTTTCTAAAGCAGAAGTATACTGACCAATTAGAGAAGAAGGGTAAAGATCGTTCGATGAATATTTCTTATTAATATTTCTTATTTTTTTACGATCTTTTTTTTAGCTCCATTTATGACTTCTCAAATTACAGAAATGATTAATAAATCCGGTTTTTATTCTTTATCATTCGATGCATCTAACAAAGGTCACAAGAAAATGTTTCCATTTGTTGTAAATTACTTCACAGTTCGTGGTATCGAACGATCAGTGATTGAAGTAATTGAACTAGTTAATGAAACAGCTGATCATATTGTTGCTTCACTTCGAGAAGTATTGCAAATGAATAATATTGATATTCAGAATATGACATCAATTGGTGCTGATAATACAAGCGTTAATTATGGACGAATTCATTCTGTTTTTTCTTTGTTGAAATCTGATATTCCACATCTAAAGAAAGGTGTTTTGCTATTGAAGAAAAATACACATGTCCCTAATAATAATGTTTTCTTCTAGGAAATTGTTTTTTCACATGTCCTAAATAATGCAGTTAAAACTTCACATATACACTTGGTCATTGATGTTGAATCAATTTTGTCAAAACTCTATGGTCACTTTTCTTCTTCAACAAAACGAGTAGAAACTCTCAAAGAGTACTTTGATTTTGTCGAGCAAGATCATTTAGTAAAGCATATATCATATTATTAATAGTCATCAATTTTTTTTATATTCAGTTATTATTGAAACACATCAATATTCGTTGGCTTAGCCTATATCCGTCTATTGAACGATTACTCAAAGTATTTGATCCATTATCTGCTTATTTTTTGGATTTGGGTGACGAAGATGCTTTTCCATGTCCACCAATAATTTCAATGTTTTTTACTTCTACTGAAGCCAAATGTACAATGTATTTTTTGCACAATGTTTTGTTTGATATACAGAAAAAGAGCTTGGAATTGCAACGATACTACGTTTCTATTGTTGATTTGAGTAGAATCATCACTAGTCTTCTTAGCAAACTTAATGACCGATTGAAACAAAATTATTTTGGTTATCAAACGAAAATTCTATTGAATTCATTGCCCGATTCAGATCGAAAAAAACTGAATCAATCATTTATCGATTATGTGTCTAGTGTAATTAAATATATTGAGAAATATTATGATGAACAATCTGAATTGGCTGAATTAACTGCCGTTTTTGGTATGTTTTATTGTGATAATTAGATAAGAGAACAGCTTCATTTTTCTAGGCATACGTGAAATCGATCAAATAAAATTTCATCAAATTGAAGAGTGTGTCGTTTTTCTCAAGTTGGAAATTGATCATGATAAATTATTCGATGAATTGAATATTTTACAATCCACATTCAAAGAAGTCAATTCATATCGTGAACCATTGAGTGATCAAATTCGAAAATATATCGGTGATGATGCTCATAATTTCAGTGGAGATATAATCAATGATCAAAGTAATGAATCACAGGATGAAGAAGATCTTTTTCATAAACCAACAATTGAAATTCATGAAAAAGAAAATCAGATTCGATCTGATCAACTGTGGGCATATCTGCTCACAAAATCAACAACTTTATGCAGCGAAATGACGAAAGTTCTTGCCTATGTTTATTCGATTCCTTGTTCAAATGCATTTGCTGAAGGTGTCTTCAGTCATATGAAGCACGCATGGACACCAAGTCGAAACTCGATGTCGACTGAAACAATTGCTACTGAATTAAAGATAAGATTAAATAGCAAAATAAAATGTGAAGATTTTTATTCTTTTGCACAATCTCAACCAGAATTGATTAAATCTGCTAAAAGCAAGCAGAAATACAGTTATGTAAAAAAACGTGTATTAGCTAATGCAAACAGAGAAGATTTACTTTAAGTGAATATTTTTTATTGTTTTTTGAACAGATATATGTCGAAAGAAAAAATGTATTTGTGAACTACTTGTTTCGAAATAAATATTAGAATTTAAATACTATTTTCAAAGCCGAGACAAAATTGGAAACAATCTTTTTACGCTAAAAATACTTTTCAAAATCGATTTCTCATTGACACTGCTTGTTATTCAACAGAAAGTTGTGTACCCCATGGACGTACCCCATTTAGAACAGTATTGTACCTCACATGTACCCCATTTAGAATTTTTTGTACCCCATTCTAAACCTGAACAGATGGCAGCCCTGATTGGAAGTAACAAAAGTTATTCTCACGTAACGTCAAGTAGGTATCAGTGATGGGATCGGTTCGGTTTCAAATATTCGGAATCGATTTCCATCCAAATATTTATTTAAATATATTTAACTTTGTCAGAGTGCTCTTACATACATCTTTATTTGTTATTCTTTTCTCCTCTTATTTCTCTCTCCCTCTTTTATCTTCTACTTTCCTATCCGGTCGTGACAATTTCAATAAATTATCACTCTTTTCTTCTGTTCTACATGTAAGGGCATTCTAATAAAAGAACACGTTGGATGTCATCTTCTTTATATAAAATAGTCTAAGCTGGAGTAGAGGACACTTATTTATGCCTCTCCTTGTATTTCACTTATATATTGCTCTCACTTATGTATGAAAATATATGGATATGTAATAGAAAAAAGAAAAGGAAAGATAATAATTCGAATAAAATTGAATTTCAGCTGAATTGAACCGAAGATTTTACAAACATCAAGTTTCGTTACAGAGAAAGGGATCTGTAACAAACATATTCACTAAGAGTAGATAAAGAAAGTGTAGCAAATTTCCTAATTTGACTCATCTACTCATTAGTTTCATTCAGTGTGCCCTTTTACAGACTACATTTCAGTATGAAGCACTCATATATATATATATATATATATATAAGTATCAATTAATTGTCGTGTTGTAATAACTCTTAACTGATGACAAAAACATTACTTTCTTTTTAACGTTCAAGGAATATACAAGTAACGCTCGTCCGTGTGACTAGCTTGACCCTCGACTGAATATTCGGCTCCTTTACTGTTTTATACTGCTTCACGGTCTTCAACAAAGCTAGTATCCAATATTTCAAAAGGATGGATAGGTGTGTAGACGTTGATTTCAGCGTCAGTTTTGTTATCCACAATGGTACCCGGATCCGTGTGATCATTTTTGTCATAAATTTATCTAATCAAACTGATATCCAAACATTAATACTCAACTGAAATCTAAATGAACTACACTACGGTAGCAGTACCCGCACGCATCCAAAAAAAGAGATTATATATAATTTTTTGAGAGATCACAAAGCAAAACGCGTTTGCGACACCATCGTGAAAACGCTTTATATTTTGAACAATACTAGTAGAAACCCGTATGCTTACCAGCATGTCTGCTGACAATGTTTTTTAATAGAGCGTCCGCTAGAAAAATAGGATCTTCACTGAGCTTCTAGCTTAAAAGAAATCATATTATATCTGATCTATAATCAGAATGCTATGCTTGAAAGAAGCTCGTACTCTGGGTAGTTGTCAGACTATATAAATAGTCTGAATACGTCTGTATGCATTCCCACATGTGAATGAACGTAGACAAGAACACACACCAACAGAAAAACTCCCTTTAATTTCATTCGTATCTACTTCCAATACAGCAAGTATGAATTCTTTGAGTGATGCTTTCCGTCAAATGTACTAATCAAATTTTGTGTACCTGCACAAAAGTCATTCTCACATTTTATCTCAAAATATTTCTCAGTTCTTAGCCACTGCTAGTCTCTATTCAAACCCATTAGATCTCGACTGTTGACTTTTATTCGATGAATCCCAACAATTTGAAGCGGTTCTTCAGGAAATATTCCAGTACAGCGGCTAGTTGCTCGTCGGCACCCCTTCTGGGCGCCACTCACGACTACCCGCTGCCACGTGTAATTGTGCTCCTCCATAACTCCATCCTGTTTTATTTACACTCCATCTGATCTGAGGGTCAACTTACTTCGAAAATTCCTGAAATCTGTAGCACGATAATTCTCAAAGAGAACTCTAAATGGAAGCTTTGTTGTAAGCTATTCCTTATTTCTTCGATTTCATTGTCTAGCTGGAAAATCACAGTTTTATTGAAATTTCTCATTAAAGAAATCTTAGTGCAGTATTCTCAAAAATCTAGCATTTACACAAATACTTTGTGAGGCGATTCTGCAGCATGCTTGCAATGTGAATGACTGGTCGTTCATCGGCGCTTCTTTGGGATGCCAGTCACGACTAGTAGCACCTTTTACACCAGTGTACTTAAGCAGTAGTTGTTCGTTGCCCATTGAATATAAAAGACTTGACATCATTTACATATATATCTTTTTATATTACTTTCTTCAACTCATACCAGCTAGAAATAGCACGAGTAAGAACTCCTGAAACGTATACAAGGTTAAAAATAGGGTTTTTTCATAATAGTAAATAATAATACATGATCGTTTATTGCCACATCCCAGCTTGAGGCTCTCGCCTATCTATGCATACATTTCCTGAGATCATAGATTTAATCATATAGAAGAACGGGTGTAGATACGATCGCAAAATCAGTCCTATTTGACAAATATAAGAAAATTCAGTGAATCTTTATCCCTTTTCTCCATCATTTCAAAAGACGTTGGTGCAATGGGAGAAAAGCGGATTCCGTCTATCCTGGATACGGTGACAATCTACACAATTCAGAGGATACGATTACGATACAGCCGATACCCATCCGATACGTACGATACGCACGATACGTTACAGATACCAAGGATACGAGTTCATTCAATTGAGAAATTCAGAGTATGTAGGATAGATTTAATGCGACTATGACGAGCCAGTGTTGATGATGAATTTCAGCCAATTTCAAAGAGTTTGCGATGTAGTTTGTCATTTATCCAACCACGAACACATCGTTTTATGGAGCGAAATAGATTTAATATAAGAGACATAACAATTCTAATAATATAGCATCAAATGAATCTACATAATTGAAGGCTCAGTCACTCTGTGAAAAATATTTGACAGATTCAACAGTCCTATATGTCTGCATACATATCTCAACAAAAAGGCAGGTTTAACTCGAAATGTTCTATATACATTTCAAGTTGATATGTTTATCGTGCAATGATGAGTTCAGATGAATGACAACTAGATAAATTGATCAGTACTACCAGGTATACAAGGAAATGATCATCTTTTAGGTATTTTGTGGATACATATATCTGGTAGCTCGATCACGTGACAGACCAGACATTGCATTCATAAAAAGAATAAGCTGTTAAAAACTTCCTGTGGCAGAAAACATGGCTCTTTAGATAGTTTCTAGAATCCATGAAACTGTTCAAAAACTCATGATTTCGATCAAAGACACGGTTTTTAAAGGACCTTCGAATGAGATGTGATGGGGTAATTTTCTGATCTCATCGAATTTTTTTCTTTTTAATGGCAGTCTAAGTTTTTGTTTTTCTTTGAAATATGGTTTCAGTCAGTACTTTAAAGAATTACTGACTAATAAAATTTGTTATTACCTCATTGTTCATCTTATTTCTTCAAAACGGATATGTTGGTTTTTATTTTTGTTTTACTAGGTTTCATAAGACGTTTGCAAATCTTTTTTCAGAAGTTCAAATAATGAGACCTAAAGCTTTTTTTTATATTTCTATGTAGTTCATAAGAGTTTATATTTTTAACGTACTCCTGCATAATTTTTGATTGTATCAGCGAAGAAGCTCGGCGATAAAGAATTTTCAGTTTAAATCAATGTTCAAAACAATATTTTATAACCGTCCAATGAAAATGAAATAATGGGTATATAGTAGATTTTGGTAGATTATACCTAGCTCCGAATGTTATAGATTTCAAAAGAATTCGTAAATATCTAAAATTCCCCAAAAATGCGCCATAGTATATGAAAAAATTTCTATTAATTCTTGATGCTGGGAAAATCTAGGAAAAAAGACTAGAAACTGATAATTCATGATAAGAAAAACTATGCTACAGAGGAAACTCTTATTACGTTCGATTATGTAAAGATATGAAAACGAAATCCTCTGATCACAAAAATATATTATAAGTTCCGATGGAATCGATTAAACTTATATCATATAGGTTTCGATGAATTCACTATTGTAACCGCAAGAGTTCGTCAAAATCCTAATACTCTAGATTCTCTTTTTGATTTCGAGAGACATCAATAAAATGTATGTGATTAGTATAATCATTTGATATCGAATAAACCGATTGCAACATGTACGAACAGAATGGACTCAGTTGTTTAAATGAAAAATCGTAGGAATCGATTCTAGATTTGAAATCTTTTTATTAGACAAGTTGTTCTATAGGACACTTTTGTGATTCCATTGGGAGCTCTGGCTCTAACGTACAAACTGAGCTTTGGAAAGCAATTCAAAAATTCGCCTGGAATCTTTCAGAATGATCCCTCGGTTTTAACTGAACGATAGTCTACAATAAATGATTTGCTGTGGCAGAATATGCTTCGGTTTATTTAAAACTTCATAGAAAAGCTTCATCATGTGAAGTGAATTTCATTCAGTATTACGCGGTAACTGAATATCTATCCACTTCATAAAAAACCTTTCAAAAGTAATAAAAAAATCTTTGTGAAAGCTTCTCGTGCGGCTTGCGGTTCGTATAGCGAAGAAGCACATACGAAAGATTCGTGTCTTCCTAAGGGAGTTCTCAAATCTTTTTCTTCTTGTCTTCAAAGGACTCTATGGAAATCTATAGAAGACTGTATCCTGATTTCTGTTGAATAAAATCTATAGCCCTTTATGTAATCTTTTAATTAATTTTCAAATCAATTCGATTATATTTCCCATGGCTCGTGGATTAGTTTTGACCATCTTTCAATAATTTATCCAAGTATATTTCTGGAGAGCGCATTTTAATTCTTACATAGCTTTAGGGTATTCAGTATGTGCTTCAAAATTACCCTAAGAGGACTTCAATTGAACAGATACTTCGTGATATTGGTCTCCGAAAGTATCGTGATTCCAATCAAAATCTTGATTTTGTCAATGGTCGAATGAGCGCGATTTGAACAATTCAGGCAGTGAATTTCCTTTGATACTAAATCTCCATGAGATTCCACTGCTGCCAAAATAACTGCATACTAGCAAGGTTTGTTAATGAAAGATCTATACTCATAATATCGGAAATATTCATTTTGCCGTGCATCTCATCTCGTAGTACTAATGAACTCATCGATAGTGTACTCATTTAAACTCATTATTTCCAACTACTATATTGAGTTCAGACGTACACATACTAAGCAACTGAAGCTAAATAGATGTGTTGTCGCTAGAAACTATGTAGAATACAAGACCAAAAAATGTGGTTTTCGATAGCATTCTCAGCAATACTTGAGCATTTTGGGAAGTGAGCAATCTGTTTTCAAAGAATTTAGGTTAAAAGTCTTAAAACTCTTAGTTCTAAAACTTATTTAAAATCAAAAAAGCGTAATAACGTTCATTGAAGACAAGTTTCGTCATGTCACATGAAGATTGACTTATAGAATAGCATAACCGAACTTTTGTGTTCTACTCAGTATTTTTCACATCATTTCTTTTCATCCAAGAGGAAAGGCAGATTCGTGAATACCCAGCTGCACTGTTTTATCATTCCTATTTCTATGTGATTCTCGTATCGTCGATACGTTGACAACCCGGAGGATCCAATGGCGGTCCATACAATCCAGTGGATACAACGGGAGCCCAGAGAATCCGACGATCCTCTTTTTCCCCCTTGCCGACACCACACCCACGCCTCACACCGAAACCACACTATGCCCACACCCACACCATTTTCAATGTACGAATCCTATTCGATTTCAAATTATTTTTTTAAAATCCATTAAGAACAAATGACCGGGAACAACAATTATCTTAGGTATAATTATCATCAATGTTTGTGTTTGAAATTACCGCAGATCGAAGATTCCAGCCACCGGATTCCGCAGGAGCTTGCAGGAAAAATGTGGAAAAGTTACCGTATCCTGCAGAAAAACACCGAAAATTGCTGGAACATAGAAGCAGTATTCCGGTCAAAAATTGGCCGAATTTTTCCGGTTAATTCCTGCCAGCTTTCCGGTAGGAATCGGCCGAGAATCATTGAAAAATTTCAGACCAGAATACTGCTTTCATTTTTCAGCGATTTCCGGTGTTTTTCTGCCGGAACCGGCCTATACTTCTTGACCTGGGACTTGAAATGTCAGTTAATTGTCAAACGATTGTAGACTTTGAAGGTTGCTCAAAATGTATTGACCCATAGTGTTCAATTTAGTCAGTGGGGCACGCTGCTTCCAAATGATTTGAATCTCGATCGGGTCGAGCCATCGATCGAATATTGCAACATCGGCAATGCGCCCATGCCAGAAATTTTCCATTGTGGTCTTGACACCAATATGCAACGTGAGAGGCATTTGCATCTGTTGATCTTGCCATCGTTCTTCATAGCGATAGTATTGCGGAAAATCAATGACACCATCACTTCTTCGAGTCATATCAACATTACACTGAAGTTGACCATCAACAAATAATTGCTGCGTATTACGAGAAACTTGAGCTACAACATGATACCAAGTGTTCTTCATCATACGATGCGGAGCCCCACAAAAGAAATGTACGGAACCGTTTGATATCATTACTTGATTTTCGAGTACACCACGAAGATTGACACCCAAATGAAGCCAAGCATTGAATGGATGTTGCCAAGAACCGATAGCTGTTCGCCAACTGATGCCTCCCGGATGCGTGTCCATGAGCCACAGCGATACACAAAATGTATCTGTTTGATATTGTCGAATATCATGAACGGGAATATTAATCGACGAACGACCATCGAGAAGAAGACATGAGCCGAGAAAGCATGTTTCTTGTTGCGGATGACCAGTCAGAGAGAGCCGACCATCGCTGGTGATACCGGTCGAATCGTGTCCTAATTTCGATTCATTTTCAAACTGCCAATGACCGATCATATGGGTACGGCAGAAACGAGCAAAACGTTGTTGACAGAACCATTCGTCAATGATAATTGTCCGCCAACGACGACAAGTGCGCGAGATAGTGAATAGTTCGGACAGAGTTCCGTCGATAAAGAAGAAAATTTTGGTGATAATTTCGTTAGGAAGATCATCTATTGAGTAAGTCATGAAATTTTCACGATATGTGGATCTGAAAAGCAAATAAAATGTAATAATGACACATAGTTTCTTTTTCTGTTCTCTTCAAATATATTTTATTATCAGTGAGACAAATGAAAGAGACCACAACTTTCTACCAATGAGTAAGAAGCAAGCAGGCAATGATATGAGATAATTGAGTCTAAATCGTTAACACAATGTGGCATTATCTGATTTGAACATGGCTGAACACTTTTTAATCAAATGTCATCTCATAGATTATATTCCGAACGCAAAAAAGCAATTTTGTATTCTATGATCTTCCTACATGCTAAAAATCACCTTTGTGTTCATGAAAAGAGAGTGTATTCTTCGCTGTGAATATATTTCTTTATTCAATATCAATAAACTGAATGTGGGTTAGGAGACTATCGACACAGCCACAATCACATTTGATGGTTAAAGGCAGAACGTAAGGAAGGATGAAGTAAGATTTACTTTATGCTCGTGCAAAAAAGAATTGCCGGGATTGAAAAGGTTTAAAAAGGTAAATTTTCTCTTAATATTTTTTGACAAATGCGACCAAGTTTCTAAGCTATTATTAGATCATTATGAGAGCATTGAAGAACAGAACCCTTGATTGTTGTGAAACATGATCTAAAAGAAACGTTGAAGTATACAAGGTCGACAATTATGTCCTCCCCAGACCGTGACAAATATTGTTGATATACAATCATAAACTGTTTATCAATAACGTCTCGTTATAATATTATAAACTAATTCTTTATTGCATCTCCAGAGGATCTCACCAAAAGATTGTGAAGAATTGTATTCCAAAATAGATAGAATAAAACAATTTCTTTGTGATTAGCAAGAAGAACTACCTTGTGTTTTACATTATAATCCTACAGGAATTACGCTAACAGCTTTGTGTCAGTATTTGATTTTTAACAATACATAGGGAAAACTGACTTGTATGTCTAGTTGTAGCAGTTGCTGAAGTTGAACGATTTAAATGCTTGTTGACGTTCGCGGCAATCTATTAAAAGCAACTGTGTCTGCGTTTGTTTAGCAGTGAAAGAAAGAAGTCAATAACGTTGATCCTTTGCTTGCTAAATTGATTACTTTTTTGTATTACTTGCATATAACTCCTAGCTTTATTTATTTGACACACGCTCGATTATTTTCCTCGCTAGTTTTTTTCTTCAAAGGTAAGTGAGAAAGATACGTAATTATTAACGATCGTCGTTACTATTTATTGATGATGTGTGTAAGTGTGTGTGTATGTGTTTTTTTGATTTTTTTCACTCTAGCATTCACACGCTCAACTAAAAATGTCTTTGCAACATTCCTATTTAGATATTAAAGTATAATTTAAAAAAATATCGTATCTATGATGTGATTAATCGACCCTAGTTAATAGTGTACTTAAAAATGTTTTATAGTTGAATGAAATATCTATCGCGTATGGTTTTGGATTACAGTATATCTTATATAAAAACTTGCTCAATTAAATCCTTAAATTAAAATTCCTACTTAATCACTTGAATTAGCCTAAATCATTGAATTACTCATAAAGGTGGATATGATTTAGGAAGCCACAACATCTGGTAAATAATAGGTATTCGTTTTTTTTAACGAAAAAAACATTATTCAAAATCATTTGACATCAATACGTATAACAGAATACCAACAGAAAACTATCATAGCAATTATATCAATTGGCGAACTCTTAAAATAGGATATGTATATTAAGATAAAATCTTTTAATATAAATTACCCATAGATAATTCAAAGAACCCAGAATTAGTTCAATTTGACTAGCATCATTTGAGAATACATTAGTTATCTCACCTGAACTAAATGCATTTAAACAACTACTTGATAAACAAAGAACCTAAATAAATACTTTTTTTAATTTATACAATCAAATATAGATTCCTTACTTTACGATAGATCAAACCATGATAATCAACATGCATTTGCATAGCAAATATTTCAATTAAATAATACAACTAATAAAACGTTATTGTAAATACGAATATAAAGAACAATTTACTTATTCTATGATGGTAAAAACTTTTTACTTAAAGTGGCTAAACAACTATGAATAGCAAGCACACATACTAATTGAATAGATATAATAGAACATGGCTCAAAGAAGTCCATCAAATATATAATTAATAATGGTTGACTGATAATTGTTAATTTCTATATTAAAATATTAATTAAAAAAAACAAAGTTGATTTAAAATGCTTGCTTACAAGAGAAATAAATAAAAGACCGATAATGAGTGGTGTCCATCCAACAGTATAAATTGTAGCAGGAAAGCGACTTGGCTTATTCGGATATCGTTTTGATTCATCCAGCCAATGATTTTCTAATTTTTCGAAAAGTTTTTTGATTCATATTTAGGAAGAATATGATGAAGATTATTTAAATAAACTGTTCCTTATCTATGACTTATATTAATTAATTTTGATATTCAACTAGAAAAAAAAATAAACATCAACGGAAAAACAAAACAAAACTTAAACGAAAAGATTTACTTATGAATAAGTTGTGACCATTTATTAGCATATAAAAATGGATTTGAATTATTTTGATAAGATTTCATCTAAAATGATTGCTTTTAGTATTAAGATGACAAAAAGAAATGGTGGTCGTCAACCAAAATCAAACAGTTTTTGTACAAAAATTGCGAAAAACAATCTTATTGTATTGTATAACATTTCGAACACTTATATCACAATAGTTGAATTATCGAAGGTTAAGCTACGATTTGACATGAGTTGCGTTACTTTAATTCTTTAGTGATAGTTCCTTCCAGAAAACAATTTCAACTTTTTTTTCGCATTACGTTTCTAATTTATGACAATGCGAAGGTCAAAAATAGATGAATAAATTACCTTGGATAGACAGAGAACAAAATAAAATAATAATTAAATTATTTCACAATTACAAAAAAACTGATTTTTAAATAAACTTGTTTGAGTAGTTTTAAATGAGGAGAGAATGAAATCTTTGCATTAATTATTTTCTCAATAATATACAACGAAAGAACATCGTTGGCATTGATTAGTATAAATGCCAATAGAAATCAATGTACAGCTAATATGATATTGACATGCTGCCATCTATAGTATCGTCAGACCAGAATATTAAAGATTCAGATCTTGTTAATATCTAACCGAAGTCAGTTATAACTATTGCAGTCAGAAAATACATTGAAAGGAAAGTTGAATTTTAGAAATTTGATTTCTTACTGAATGGAACGGAAAATTGTCAATTAATGTAGTATACAAGAATCAGTGCTTGAGACCATGTTTCGATGTTATCATTGAGACTGTATATTAAAAAAAATTGAATCTAATTAAAGAAAACAATTGTTCATCAACGAATTAATTCAATGAATTTTTGATTATTTATTTAATTCATTGTGATTATCATAATTAATAAACTTTTTACCATAATTCGATAAATAACTCTAGTGATTGTTGAGTTTCATCATGTAGAAATCCTGCTTTTTTTTGCAAAAGAAATATTATTATAATAGTGCCATTGTCAGTCGAACCAGATCAGATCATCAAAAAGTGATCCGATTTCGAGGTCTCTTACTTAGTACATTCATTAATGAAATGTAACTAGTAAATTTTAAGAAATATTCATTAAAAATTATCCCAATATTAGATCAATCAATCTCAAAATTGATTGAATTTTCTTGAGGGCGAATATACTATTTCAAATCATTCTAAACTTGAATTTGTACAAATTCATATGTAAAACAAATTAATACGGAAACCAATACCATATCAGTGTGCATTTGCCATTGTAAATTGTATGTTCTTTCACGATTTCTACAATATTAACTTGCCATTCATACGAGAATGTTATTTGTAGAGAAATATTACAGTGTAAAAGGTTTGAAAAACAGCTGGCAAACTGAATTTTTTGAGTCACCAGTAGGTGTGGCTGCGCTTCTCACATCTCTTTTTCAGAACGTGGTGTACATCTCTGATTTCCGTCATAGATTGGTCAAATAATTTGCAGTAATTCAAGAATTTTTCTTCTCTTATTTATTGTATACTGAATCGATCTCGATTTCATCTAACAACGATTGTGTACATGATAAGTATACTTGCACTCAGCAGATCTGATTCAAAACTTTTCTATATATGTTAAGGATCATCAAGTTAATGCTCGTGCGGATACTTAGTTTCAAACCTTTAGATTCAATCAATAGCAAGAAAGACTTAATCACCTACAATAAAATAGTGTAAAAAAAATACGAATTAATAGTAATTTTAGGGACCATTCATAAACAACTTTCATATAACAATCGCATTTTTTTTTGATCGTCTCGAACGTTCAGATTTATTTGTAGATGATGCGTCATAGAATTATGAGAAAACTGTTTTTTTCCAAAATGCTGTTCAAGATCAATTTATCTTGAAAATTTCGTGAGTTATGTTGAAGACGTGAGCAAGAAATTGCAATAGGTATCTAAGTGATGCAACTTTTTCTAAACGTTCATTATAGCTGACTCCTAATTTATTCATTCTAGACAAGAGAACAACTTCATCAATCAATGCATTGAAAGATATTGAATTTGATGAATAGTCTTAATCTATTATTGAATATCGTTAGTATAAAGATGCAATGAAAATTCGTCTAAATGATCATTATCAATTCGCAATTGATAATAAATCTCAATATTTAATTGAAAATCGTTTTGAATTTGGATGATACAGTTATTTATGATTGTATTTATCGACAAGAAAAAAATATCCGCAAAAGTAACTAATGAAGATTTACCTTATGAATTTATTCGTCTATTAAATGAAACTATAGCTATCATTGAAAAACAATAATTACTACTTGAATGTGAAACATAGATTTTTGAAAGGTTAATCATTAAAATTAAGTTGTACATTAAATAAAGCAAATTGCCAAGTTATATGATAAAAGGATGCCGATGACGATAATCGATTTATAGTCATAAATGATGAACAAATTTATAGATTAGAAATAAAAAAATAATAAAAAAATGATTAATATTGCAATGTTTCTACTAAACTTGACGATAAACAACAACAACCATATTCGGTTTTTATTACTGGTAAATTAAATTTTCTTTTTTCTTTTTTAATTCATTAATTTTTTTGTTTAATAGAAGTTCTAAGCGATATTAATTATTATTTCATTAAGTGATACAAATTGTGTTGAAGGAAAATATGAACTTCATGGAGATGTGAGTGTCTTAATTTGATAAGCACCACAAGAATATGAGCATTTACAAGTTTTTCGAAATAATATCAATTCTATCTTGTCTTGTTGAATTACAAATAATTAGTAATTCTCATAGTAATCATCATAATAATTACTAAGATCAATTCGTTTTGACAATTTTATCTGCAACTATCTAAACGGTGATCAAATATCG